CAGCTGGGCCTGGTTCTCCTCGGGAAAAGCTATTAAAACATAATAATATGCCTTAACTTACCTCACCTCAGACGTGTCTCCCCCTCTAGCTCTCCTTTCTCTTCTTTGCAGGGGATGAATTATTAGTCGAGTGATAATGACGATCTGAACAATAACCTTGTGAGGATTCTACATTTATATGTATTTTTAGGTCTGAGCAGAGCTGATATCCTCGGGGGAAACAGCCCTGTATACTAAATAAATGGAAATTAGAGCAGCCGCGCCTCTCTGTGTGTGAGGGCCAGACAAAGAAAACAATACATTTCAGCCGAGCAGGTAAGTGTATCACTGAAAAAGGCCAAGTAGTGATTTGTAATGACAAGTCTTTCTTAAACAGTAATTATACCCGGTGCATTGTGGGAGCAGCTCAGCGCTTTTCCCCTCTGCCGCAGTGGATACAGATGGCGTGTCTGCATATGTAAACAGCACCTTGTACCCCGCGGCCCCATAAACACATAAACACAGCTCTTCTAAGAAACACAAAAGGTAATGAGTTAGCAGACAAAGCGGGAACCAGCTGCAGACGAGGAATAAAGGTGGGGGTAATGATGCTGAACACTCAGGCTGCATCCCGCCCTGCAAAGATTCATCAAGGAAACTAGACGGGGATATGAACATGATGCAGGAGCGCCTGTGGAACGGCTGTTTATGCAAGTTTTTCTCCCTTTAATACAAACACGATGCAGAAACGTTAGAAGTGTGTGGTTCAGCGTTCAGTCTGCAGAGCAGGGTCAGGTCTGTTTGGAGTGATTCAATCCAGCTCTTAGTCATTTCAGAGGTGAGTTCACTTTGATTATGCATCCAGTTATCCTTTGGTCATCTCTTTCTTTTTAGTCTAAAGAGGAGTCAGGGCGGGTATTCGGTAAAAGAAAGGACTTGCATAAAGAAAAGACGTCATAAATGATGATGGCTGCAGGTGAGCTTAGAAAATCTATTCTCTTTGCTACCTGGATGGATGCATGGATGTCACATTGGTACAGAAACCCAAGCAATCTGTTACTATTCAACGAAGGTAACCAACCATCCATCCATCCATCCATCCATCCATCCATCTTCCAGGGGGATCTGAGGTGTTCCCAGGCCTCTCCAGCATGTCCTGGATCTTCTCCATGGTCTCCTACCGGTGGGACTTGCCCTTAACGCCTCATTATTACGCCATCTGGGATTTCTCCTGGTTAGATTTCCAGGCCATCTCATCTGACTCCTCTTAACGTGGAGAAGCAGCAGCTCTGGATGACCGAGCTTTCTAACCTCTCTCTGAGGGAGAGTCCAGCCACCCAGTGGAAGACACTCATTTCAGCCGCTTGTACCCGTGATCTTGTTCTTTTGGTTACAGCTCATGATCGTAGGCGAGGTGAAGATTATAGATCGACCGGTATATCGAGACCTTTGCTTTGAAACCTTTGCGGCGCGAAGACCAAGAGATACTTGAACTTCTCCACTTGAGGCAGGCTCTCATCCCCGACCTGGCGCAGGAACTACACCTTTTTCCGGCTGAGAACCTTGGACCATGTACCTCTACCAACCAACCAATCTACATTAATGTCGTACCTTAAGGTTGGAACCAATGATGTGTGTCATTGGTTAGTCCCATATGTGCTTTGGTCTTGATCGATGTCTGCATTGACAAATGAAGGTTCGTATCCCGTTTCAGTCTAGATATCAATAGATGTTCTAGATGTTCCTGTTCCTGCACACTCTACGTTTCAGTAGTAAGGGTTAACTTTTTAAAGAGTATTTCTTCTTCTTCTTGTTATTTTATTTTTAAAGTTATCACAGCGTGAAGAAAAAAAAACAGATTTTTCTTTAACAATGTCTTTTGGAGACACATTTCAGCGAGTAAGCAAGGCCCTGAAAACTGTGATTATAATGGCTACATCTGTATGCTGCCATGTTTTGGGCAGAATCCATTCATCAGCGGGCGCTGCGAGTCGAGGTTCGGCTGCCTGTAGTTCAAAAAATCAAATAGAATGAGAAACAGAGGAGAAAAGAAGAGATGCCCCGTGGACAGCCAATGCCAATCTCCAGTCTTAACGAAGCCGGCTGTGTCTGATGTCTGGCAGGCTGCAGCTAATGATGAGGCATAGTTAGGTGGAGAGGAAGACAAAGTAGGAGACGGAGTGAGGGTGAGGTGTGTTCGGGAGAGAATAAGGGAGACGGAGGGAGCGTCAATCTTAATGAAAGTTGCCTTCACTGTTGTCTGGCTGGCCACGGATAATGATTAGTTAGGTAAGGCTGGAGAGAAGAGAGAGAGCAGCTCTGATTATTTAACATTTTAAAGGTCGGCACAACACATTCAGGGACGCGCAGCACTTTCTGTTCATGGTGATGTCAGGGAAACTGTATAGTGAGCAGGTAGGAGTCTTACCCCAAATTTCCACCTCATGCAGAAAGGCGGCGAAAAGGTCATCGGCACCGATCACCGCCGATCGGGTCAGATCATTTCCATTCACGTAAACAGGGATTTCCTCTGCATCTGGAACGGCTTTGATTTTCCATGTACACCAAATCCTACGGATCCGTTTGTGAGGCGAATTTCTTGGCGGATTATGGACAGCGGGAGTCTTGAGAACTCACGAGAACCGGCAGATTCACTTGCAAACGCACGATAACAAGTTGTCTCTACAAAGAGAGACACATAGACATATAAGCAGTAGATTGTGTCCTTCCAGAGGAGGAAATCTACTTCTAGACTTCTAGAATCAGCATCTCCTCATCCATGGTGTCATCGGGGTGAAATGACGTCTAAAAACCTTTCACTTGTTCGTCTCCGCCCGTTTGCATGGTGTGAAATACGATCCTCCTGAAACACGGAGTGTTTTATTTTGAAAAGAAGCCGGATGTTTTATTTTGTGTCTGTGCCCGACTTCCTTTCCAGCACGGGTTAATCTGCGCTGAATTTATCCGCCATGCTCCGGCGTCTGGAAAAAATAGAACTCTTGTGATCAGCTGAGGAGTCCGGCGATCCGCAGAGGAATGGAGAGAAGTCGGTGTAAATTGACACGTTAACCTGAATGGTTATGATCAGCGAATACGGTATTTTCGTAGCCGTTCAGGATGCGGTGTAAATTGGGGGTTAAAGTGTCAAATTCCACCGGCTTATTTCCGTTCCGCTGTGGTTCAGCGGGCTTCATAGCTGATCGCCAGGGTTTTATTTTGTACCGATGCTGCAGCATGCCTTGTAAATTCATAGTATTTTTTCTCCACAAAAGTGTCTGATCTACTCGCCATGAAATTCACCTCACAGTGCATCTGGTAGGAATTGGCGGACGGGGAAAATCTGCACCGTTCTGCATATGGTTGAAATTTGGGGTCAAACTGAACGTCATCAGCTTGTTGCAAAACAAATCTGCCTATGGGGACAAATGACGCCACCTGGACCTGGACTTGACCCTCGTTGTTGTCCTTCCCTGAGCACTTTCAGTGATTAAAGCCTGAAGAAAATATGTGTTTATGCAGAATCTGCAGGAACTATGCGGTACACATGAGGACGTCACGTCTGCAGGTCTCAGAGTCAGAAGTTTACACGTTTTTATGAAGCTGTTTGAGAGTCTGTCCACGTCTAAAGGTTCGTCCTCATCTTTGATTTCACCTTTTTGTTTCTGTTTCTTTAATTGCAGAGGGAAAATGGTCGACGGCTGAAATTTGCTGAATGCTCGAAATAACTCAGAGGTCCAGAAATTGAAATGTCAACAAAGCTTCCCAATTAGCTGTTGATGATTTAATTAGCTCCTTTCTTTTTAATAACCTCATCATTTTCTCGTTCTTTGAAGTTGGGAGCCAAATGAGGGCTCTGCCAACTTGTGCAGGTCCCACTTGGGCAGAGATGATCAATGTGGGATGGATCTGTAAGAAGAAGAAGAAGAAGAAGAAGAAGTCTCTGTATCGGCTCCTCAGGTGATTTGCCTTGTCTCTCTCGCTCTGATTCCTTCCCACGTCTCTCCTCTTTCTCTCTCTGATCTTTGCTTGAGTCTTTGGGCTCATTATTACATCCCTCTCCTCTTACTGCTCATTTCTTCTTGTCCATCCCGACAAATTGTTTCCTATCTTCTCATCTCAGCCTGTCCCCTTTCATCCCCTCCTCCCTCCTCTCCTCGCCTCCATCTCTGTCATGCAGATGGCGGGGCTGCAGCTGGCGATAAGATTCTGCTGACGGCGGCTTTCAAAAGAAAGAGACAGAAAGCAAAGGCGTTAATAAAAGTGTCCAGAAACCGAAGCTTTGGAGCTGATTTCCTCAGCTCTCATGCAGATCTCGTGTTATCAGGTGGTGTCATTCTGCAGCGACATGTTTGTGTTCATCGAAAGTTAGATTTTTAATAATGCAGGACACTCGATAGCACACTCTTCATGTTTCCATGTTTCTTCAGAGACTCTAGTCAGGGATAGTAATTAAAAATACTTCATAAAGTAGTTTTTAATGGAAGTGTGAACTTCAGCTCTGCTCTTTAAATTGCAAAGAAACCATCAGGGTGACTTACAGGAGCCGTTAAGCTGAGGAAAAGGTGCCTACAGTAGCATCTCCTCGCTTTATTGAAAGATAATTCCAGTCCTGCTCATGTTCAGCTTCATAATTTCCCCCTTAGAGGCTCTACTCACCATCCAGGTAAATATATACGATCATAACACTGAAGATTTACTGTACAGTGAGCAAACATGTCCCAAGTGGTCACTTTGGGTTCATTAAAGGTGCTGCTTCTGTGTGGGGACAGTTTTCTGTGTTTTTTTTCCACCGCTGACGGACTTTTAAAGAGAGAAAACAAAACATAAAAAACAATTGAGTCTAAACAAAGTCTTCCAACTCGAAGCTTCTGCAAGAAACTAAGGTGGTGTTGATTTTGGCGCCCCCTCTGGACAAAGCTGCAGGTGAATCTTTAGACAATATTAGATCGATTTATGATCATTTCTTTATCATTTCCTTGAAGTAATAATCATCATATTAATCTTTTTTCTCTGCAGACATGGTAGTTCTTCTGTCTTAGCGTCTCAGTCTGATTGTATTTCCATGAAGAAATGATCATAAATGTTCTTCCTTGAGCTGCGGCACCCCGCTGTAGTTCGTAATGGACTGGCCTGAGGTCTCTGTACAAACAAGCGTCTGCTGGAAGAGAGTAGGTGAGTTGTGTTTAGTCTCTTTACTAAAGAAATGAGTCAAAGTTAAAAAGATGTTTGGTGTCTAGTACTATGTCTGTGACCCTATATGTCCTGTTGATGAAGTTAGGTGCTGTTCTGAGCATTATTTGTGGCTATAGAGTGGCGTTTTGGTTGAGGTTTGTTTATGGCTCCTCAGACCGTTGTGTATTACTATCCTGTGGTCGTTACTAAAGTTGGTATAACTAGAGAAGCAAGCGGTCGGCAACATTCATCTCTGGAGGGGGGGGGTCTAACTCGATGTTGCGCTGTGTTTGACTCTAAATTAGTTTTACACCGGAATATTCCTTTAAGAGGCTTTTGGACATGAGGCAGGAAACAGGGAGAAGGATCAGGGAGGGATGAACGTTATATATGTTGCAAACACATAGACTGTAAGGCCAGTAGCAACCCCAGAAGGCTTACTTTAAGGACACTGTTGGTGCGCTCAGTGACAGACTTATTGATGGTAACCGTTTTTTAAATACCATGACTTAACAGTGTTGGCCTTTTGTGTTGGTTTCCAAATGTCATAAAACTTAGAATAGACGAAGAAGACATAGCAGACAGCTAGCAAGATAGTCGGATGCTACTTCACGAGTAATTCATGTAAGTGTTGTTTTATTGTTTACATAACTTTGTGGCCATGATAATCTTGGGGTAAATGTGGGGTGAAATTGTGACTTCCGAGGGTTAAACCTCTGCGTTAAACTCACACATGAGTTTTGGTGCCAAACAGCACAGACACACAGTTTTGTATTTTTCACGTGCCATTCTCCACACTAGTGCAGGATATCCTGCAGGATAAAGTTGTCGTGAATCTCCGCAGGTCACCGAGCCACACGTTACACAAACTCTTGGCACTCTTGTTTTTTGGCGATTAGTGCACACTTCCTTTCCCCCCCTTAGCTATCCTATTAACCAGAGTAAAAAATGCCCCAGAACATGAATAAAAAGACGCTTAAGTGGTCTTTTACTCTGATTTTTTCAAAGGATTCTTGGTTCATTTGTAATTGTGTAAAAAGAAAAAAAAAACATTCAAAATTCATCCCCCGTTTTTCCTGATTTGCAGAACAAATCTCATATTTAGTATCAGTGTCTCTGCAGAGACTTTTCAAGTCTTTAAATGCTGCGAGCCTAAAAAACAGCCTCACAGTAATGAGCTAAATGTCCTCCATACACAGCAGGGAGTATAATTAAAAAGTGCAAATCAGCAGCATTAAACAAACATGAGGCTGACAATGATCCAGTGACTGCGCTGAGCCTCGACATGCAGCATGTTTGGATGTGACAGAGTTAAGGATCCTTCTGGACCATCGGACAGAGATGTTGGTCAAACGTAGGTGAAGGAGAGGAGACTGTGTGGGCTTTTGTCTACTCGGTTAAACCCTGACAAGAAGCTGACACCAAAATGAGGCCGCTCCATTTAACACAAAGTGTCTAATTTGCCGCAGGGTGAAAATAAGCAGCTTAAGAGCATATGAAGTTGCACTTTGTGTCGGATGGTTGTGTGTTATTTGTCAGCGGGCTGTAATTACTCTGTCTGGATTTTATTGCGCCGAGCGCTCACAGATGAAAAGAGGAGTGACGGCCGAGTCAAGAGGACAGACAGCGCCTGAGAGAGAGAGAGAATATGATGTTCGAGGTTGGTGTTTACAGGACCTGAAAAGGGGTCAGGCGGTTTTATGGGACGGACCTCGTGTCCTTGTTATTAACCCTTCCGGGACCTTTAGATTTTCCTCCCTCTAAAGTCCCTCGTGGCTGTTAAAAGCCACTTTTTCTGTCGGCTGTAAAATCATATTGGATTAATATTTTTTTCAGATTTTTTTTCACAAATTTCTTATTTTACTTCTGCCCTGTTCGAAACTAGCAAATGTTTCATTGAAAACAATTTTTTTTAACCCTTTAAGTGCCAATTTAAGACAAAAAGTCACAAATTTAGCAAAAATTGAAGGAAAATGACCCATTTTTTTTATAAGACATGATCAGAAACTGGTAATCTCTTGCAGGGTATTAAAGTCTTGAATATGTCAGAGATTAGTAATATAATTTACTTATATGCATTTTCAGTTTTTCTGTAGCATCAGATTTAATGAAAACTGCCTTTGGCGCCTCCCAGTGGCCAAAACCACTATTTCTGCTGTAAAATCATATTGGATTAATATTTTTTTCAGATTTTTTTTATACATTTCTTATTTTACTTCTGCCCTGTTCAAAACTAGCAAATGTTTCATTGAAAATAAAAATTTTAACCCTTTAAGAGCCAATTTAAGACATAAAGTCACTTAAAAAGCAAAAAAATGGAAGGAAAAAGAAGGAAAATGACCCATTTTTTAAATAAAACATGATCAAAAACTGGTAATCTCTTGCAGGGTATTAAAGTCTTGAATATGTCAGAGATTAGTAATATAATTTACTTATATGCATTTTCAGTTTTTCTGTAGCATCAGATTTAATGAAAAACTGCCTTTGGCGCCTTCGAGTGGCCAAAGCTACTTTGTCTGCTGTAAAATCATATTGGATTAATATTTTTTTCAGATTTTTTTTCATACATTTCTTATTTTAATTCTGCCCTGTTCAAAACTATCAAATGTTTCATTAAAAATAAAAATTTTAACCCTTTAACGGCCAATTTAAGACATAAAGTCTCTTATGAAGCAAAAAAATGGACGGAAAATGGAAGGAAAATGACCTCTTTGCTTCATAAGAGACTTTATGTCTTAAATTGGCCCTTAAAGGGTTAAAATTTTTATTTTCAAAGAAACATTTGCTAGTTTTGAACAGGGTAGAAGTAAAATAAGAGCTGTATGAAAAAAAATCTGAAAAAAATATTAATCCAATATGATTTTACAGCAGAAATAGTGGTTTTGGCCACTGGGAGGCGCCAAACGCAGTTTTTCATTAAATCTGATGCTACAGAAAAACTGAAAATGCATATAAGTAAATTATATTACTAATCTCTGACATATTCAAGACTTTAATACCCTGCAAGAGATTACCAGTTTCTGATCATGTTTTATTAAAAAAATGGGTCATTTTCCTTCATTTTCCTTCCATTTTATTTGCTTTTTAAGTGACTTTATGTCTTAAATTGGTCCTTAAAGGGTTAAAATGTTTATTTTCAATGAAACATTTGCTAGTTTTGAACAGGGCAGAATTAAAATAAGAAATGTATGAAAAAAATCTGAAAAAAATATTAATCCAATATGATTTTACAGCAGAAAAGGCAGTTTTGGCCACTGGGAGGCGCCAAAGGCAGTCTTTCATCAAATCTGATGCTACAGAAAAACTTAAAATGCATTGAATTCAATTATATCACTAATCGCTGACATATTCAAGACTTTAATACCCTGCAAGAGATTACCAGTTTCTGATCATGTTTTATTTAAAAAATGGGTCATTTTCCTTAAATTTTTCCTTCCATTTTTTTTTGCTTTTTAAGTGACTTTATGTCTTAAATTGGCCCTTAAAGGGTTAAAATTTTTATTTTCAATGAAACATTTGCTAGTTTTGAACAGGGCAGAAGTAAAATAAGAAATGTATGAAAAAAAATCTGAAAAAAATATCAATCCAATATGATTTTACAGCAGACAAAGTAGTTTTGGCCACTGGGAGGCGCCAAACGCAGTTTTTCATTAAATCTGATGCTACAGAAAAACTGAAAATGCATATAAGTAAATTATATTACTAATCTCTGACATATTCAAGACTTTAATACCCTGCAAGAGATTACCAGTTTCTGATCATGTTTTATTAAAAAAATGGGTCATTTTCCCTCAATTTTTGCTAAATTTGTGACTTTTTGTCTTAAATTGGCACTTAAAGGGTTAAAAAAACTGTTTTTAATGAAACATTTGCTAGTTTCGAACAGGGCAGAAGTAAAATAAGAGATTTGTGAAAAAAAATCAGAAAAAAATATTAATCCAATATGATTTTACAGCCGACAAAACAAGTGGCTTTCAACAGCCACGAGGGACTTTAGAGGACGTTTTTCTGTCCTGGCTTTATTATTGACTTGGTGAAAATTTTGAATTCATGTTTTCAAATAAAATTTCAAATTAAGCTTAGAAAAAAAAATTCATCACATTTGCTGCAGTAAAAAAAAAGTTATATCCAAATTAGTCTCTAGCTCTATCATAAATTGGCTGTTAAAAGCCCGAAGGTTCCGCAAGGGAATATGTTCTCAAAAGAAGCAGCTGGACCGAGGTTTAGATAACTCATCTTTATGTGATTACCACTTTAGGAAAAAGGACAAATATAACACAACACTCTTAATATTACAGGCTTTAGATCCATTTTCACGTCACCAGACAGTCATGTGACCTTGGAGATACCTTATAATTTCACACAGTGAATCAGGGTGTAATGAGGCGCAGTCACGTTATTAATAATGCATGTTTGCGGTTTAAAGCTGTAGTGCGTGACTTCTACATGTCTGTAAATATCCGTTTTACCAAAGCCTACAAGAGGAGAAGATACAACGCTGATTAAGCCGTTTGGCTTCTCTAACACCTGGACATATTTTTCAGTATTCGGTTTTACCTGACGACGAGAAGGAAGGGGGGAGGAGAGCGCTGCTGGAAGCAACATGACGGAGATCCCGAAGAAGCAACCAAGAGGCTCAGAAGTGGATCCTACTAAAAAGAAAAAGGCCTCCAGTTCAGCGAAGAAAGAAAGTGACAAACAGAGAAGACTATCGGCGTCACTTTTCCTTGATGAAGAGCCCTGAAGGTAGGGTGACCATACGTCCTCTTTTACCCTGACATGTCCTCTTTTCTGGGGGCTGTCTGAGTTTGACAGCTTAGTCCAGAAAAGTTTATAAAATCTTCCATCCTTGTACTTACGTTTTGAGTTTGTCTCACGTGGACTTACTGAGTTAGAAGCGAGTAAAAGACACTCGATCCGACCCAAAAACCTCAAATTTAACTTCATGCGACACCGCCCCTGCGTAGTCGTGTCCTCTTTAATATGGTCACCCTACTGAAGAAGGTGGAGCTTGAGGTTCCACACCGATGTTGCCCTGATACTGCTGGATAGATAGATAGATAGATAGACAGATAGATAGATAGATAGATAGATAGATAGATAGACTTAATTGATCCCAAACTGGGAAATTCACACTGATCTCTGCTCTGATCGTACCTATTCAAGTTAATATGTTGATTTCCACCGGACACAAAATAAAACATCCAGCTTCTTTTCAAAATAAAACACTCCGTGTTTCAGGAGGATCGTATTTCACACCATGCAAACGGGCGGAGACGAACAAGTGAAAGGTTTTTAGACGTCATTTCACCCCGATGACACCATGGATGAGGAGATGCTGATTCTAGAAGTCTAGAAGTAGATTTCCTCCTCTGGAAGGACACAATCTACTGCTTATATGTCTATGTGTCTGTCTTTACAGAGACAATTTGTTATTGTGAGATTGTGCGCAAGTTCTCGCGATTTCCGCTGTCCGAAACGCATACTGTAGGAATTGGCAGATGGCGGAAATCGCTGCCATTCCGTAGCGGAGCCGTTCCGATTGGGTGGAAATTGGGAGTCATTCCATGTACGTGTTACACTGGGCCATACATCATAATGAGGTACCAGCCATTTCGATATAACGATGCAGAAATCCTCTAGGGGGCGAAAGAGGTTACGCACTATAGCTTTAACATGAATCTGACCAATCAGGGCTTCTGCTCTAATCCTCTTTAGCAGTCACATGACAGGTGTGTTACTATTTACACAGCACACTTCAGCCTAACTCTCATCCTTCTACTGTTCCTCTACAAACTCTGAAAACACACACAGGTCACTGTATGGATTCTGTTAAAACAATCAGCGACTCTCCGAATAAACAGAACTTCCTCGTGCAAACATACGTCCAACATTTGTGCACGTTTATAACCTCCTGAACATGAAACTCCGACGTGAAAGACACCGAGCAGGAATATCATGTGGTTAAAGACCAAGAACTGCGATCACAGGTCAAAGACACGGGGCGCTCAATCTTACCGCCGAGTTAAACTGCCGAACCATCCAGAGGGCTTTTGTTCAGAATTCGCCAATTTTCTCTGCCGGGGTCATCGTGATGCTGTGAAACTGTTCCCGCACGGGTCATCCAATAAACGACTCTGCTGGCACTGAAGGAAAATTTGAGGAAATGTCTGAAGAAATACCTGAACACCAAATCAACAAGACTGCGACGCAGGAAACACAAGTCAAGGAAAAGTCTCCTGCTGCTTTGAAACCACCTTTGGAGGTTTTGACGATTCACGTCACATGTAACCTAGTTTGAGAAAAAGCCAACCCCATCTGCCGGAGGAGACGCAAACAGATGATTACAGGTGTGGTAAACAAACCTGAAGGTTACTCCTCAGTGTTTGAAGGAGAAAACAAAGACAGGTGATTAAATTAAGTCCCTGAATGTTTGTCGTAAACATCTTTCATTTCTGACCCTGCAGACGGAGGGATTATTAGCAGATGTCTTTCTTTGGGTTTAACCTCTAAAAGAAAGGTTCTGTTCAAAGGTGAGGATTTCTACTTGTTTACAACTCGTCTGCAAGAGACTCCAAAACTAAATAAACCTTTTTTATTATTCCTGAACCCGACACACATGCCGGCACCTCCACTTTTGAACACCTCCTTATATTCTCTTCTCCTCATTTCTGAACCGCAGACATGTTTCCCTCCTTCCTTTATTTCCTGCAGCCATCCTCTTCTTTTTTCTCCTTTTGTGAGTCAAAGTGCAAAATCAATCCAGCAGGCATGCGAGGGAAAGAGGGACCAGCACAATGGCCCCATCATCACCTGTTGTCACATTGTCCTCCACGCTCTGCAGGACGGCGTTTGTCCTCGGCGTCCTGAGCGCCTCGCTTTGTTTCATTCAGCTCCACTTCGGGGACGAGCTCCCAGCGCTCCCCGAGCTCGGACCATTATGTGGTTTGGCAGCAGAGAGCTTGTCACAGCAGTCAGGGCTCTCAGTGGTGCACACGGGTTAATTGGTTCTTGGCTCGATGGAGCACCTTTAGGCGAGAGCGCAGGGGGGGGAATGTAAGAATGGATGCAGCAGGATCCTCCCTCCGTCTTCCTTTGTGGGAAACACACCAACAAGACACAAGAGCCACACTTTTGAGAAACAAACGAACAATTGTAAAGATATGAAGTTATACATCTGCAGTGAGGGGGATACCAGAGTTTCTTGAAACAGACTGATTGTATGGAGACCTCGGGCCAGTCCATTACGGACTACAGCGGGGTGACGCAGCTCAAGGAAGAACATTTATGATCATGTCTTTATCCATGAAATAATAATCATCATATTAATCATTTTACAGACGCCGTAGTTCTTCTGTCTTAGCGTCTCGATCTGATTGTATTTCCATGAAGAAATGATCATAAATGTTCTTCCTTGAGCTGTGAAACTCCGCTGTAGTCCGTAATGGACTGGCCTGAAGTCTCGCTACAAACAAGCGTCTGCTGGAAGAGAGTAAGTAATCTACTAGGAATTCAGGATTTGTTTGGCCATCTAGGACCCACTGAGAAACGTAGGAAAGTTGGTTCTTGTGTGAAATACTTGATTCTGATTGGTCAAAACTCCAACACAAAAACTGAAAACCAGATCAGGCTCCTCATCACATCAGTCGATGGAAAGAGGTCACCTCTATTGTTATGACTCTAATGTTAAATTTAGTCTCTAATCTGCGTAATCACCTGTTCACGATAAATCATCTGTGTTTGTCCCAATATAAAAGCACCAAGTGATCGATTTATTGTCAACAGGAAGTTTCTCCTTCTGTGGCATCCCTCCAACTCATTACTCCTGGACTATTTCAAGTGAACATTAACCAAACCTTAACTCTAACTCTGGTTGACCTCATGTACCAAAACAATCAACAAACACGTTAGCAAAAGGCGAAAAGTTTCAATTTGAAAGAATGAAAACACTGACGACTTTACAGCGCTGTCACTTTCATGGGATAGGAACCAAATTCAACAACTCATCATAGTCCAGACTGCAGAATATTTGGCACTTTTATTATCATTTCAATGTGAATGTTTGCAGTTTGTTTATTATTTCGTAATGATGTATTTTATACTTTTTACACTGAACGATGTAAACCTGTTTGAATTGTTGGTACGGTGTGCTCTTTGAAGAAATGCTTAATCACGTGTGTCTGGTGTAAAATCTGATTTCATTTATCATGCAATAACTTTTTAGTGCATATCAGTTTTTCCCCAAAATCATGCAGCCCTAAGTTGTGATAAATGTTGCTGCAGTTTTCAGTTTTCAGATAGTTTGTACAGTTTTTAGATTAGACGAGGCCCCGTAACAGAACCCTGTGGGACACCTTCAGTATCCTTAGATTCAGATATGTATTTATACCATCTGTTAAGTGATTTTTAAGCCTGCTAAGAGTCTTAAAACCTCAAACTAAATATTCTGAGTCTGATTAGCAGCCGTCACAAAGCTCAGATAATTCAACAAATAACATTTTTGTTCATATTTAATGAGAAAATGACTAAAACTGATCTGTTTGGAGTTGCTGGGTTGACACCTGAACCCTCTTGCAGAAATTTCAGCCGTTAAAAAATGCCTGTCTCGTCACTGATGGTCTTGGTTTTTGTTTTGTTTTATCGTCTAAAAGCATCAGTTTGAATTTGAGTCTATTTTCCAGTCACCTCCTCAGAGTCAGTTTGTAATGAAAGAGCAGCGAATCGCTGCGTCATGCAGGTACCACACGGCAGAGTCAAGGTTATATTCTTGGTACAAAACGACTGAAAGGCTTCCAGGATAATCCCGGAGGCACGGCAATCAAACTTCAGATCCCTGAAAACAGACGGTCCCTGCAGTTAGGGAGGAGGAGGAGGAGGAGGAGGAGGAGGAGGAGCAGTGTGAAATGTTTGGCATGCGGATGGGACGAGGGGTTTTTTGGCGTCACACCTAGAAGAGAGGATAAAGGGTGGAGTTTGACATGCAGTGTGCTGAGGAGGAGATGTAGGAAGCAGAGTCACGGTGAGGACAGTGGGGTGTTTTGTTGTGCAGAGCGGGGGGTGGGGGGGACAGAAAGTGCAAACGCTCGCTTTCTTTAAGCTGCTGCAGACTTGTTGAAAATCTGCTTAGCTGGGAAGAGTTTCTCCATAAAGTTAAAGCGAGACGTCACTGGAGTTATTTGGAGGACTTTCAGGCTGTAACTTCATGAAGATTATGAGAGTAACAGATGCAGCCCTCCTGTTTGTGTTCAGTTCAGCTTATTTAGAACTTTTTATCAGGACTTATGGATGTTTTACCAACGAAAAACCCACGAGAGACAAACCTGTTATAACCTGACTTGAACCAGACTGAGCTGCGGCTGTCTAAATGTTTTACAAGCTTCATGTTTTGTTTTATTATTAAATTATATGTTTCCATATTTATTTAGACTAATGCCGATACCACCTACTGTTAATCTTCTCCTCACTGTTATCAGCGTCACCTTTTGAACCTTTTGAGATTCGAAGTTAAAGGGATATTCTGGCATAAAATTAATTTAGGGTCAAACACACGGTAACACCGAGTCAGACCCCCCCTCCAGAGATGAATGTTGTCGACCGCTTGCTTCTCTAGTTATACCAACTTTAGTAACGACCGCAGGATAGTAATACAGAGAGCCACGCCCTCAACCAAAACGCCACTCTATAGCCACAAATAATGCTCAGAACAGCACCTAACTTCATCAACAGGACATATAGGGTCACAGACATAGTACTAGACACCAAACATCTTTTTAACTTTGACTCATTTCTTTAACAAAGATACCAAACACAACTCACCTACTCTCTTCCAGCAGCAAGACCTCAGGCCAGTCCATTATGGACTACAGCGGGGTGACGCAGCTCAAGGAAGAACATTTATGATCATTTCTTTATCATTTCCCTTGAAGTAATAATCATTATATTAATCATTTTACAGACGCGGTAGTTCTTCTGCCTTAGCGTCTCGGTCTGATTGTATTTCCATGAAGAAATGATCATAAATGTTCTTCCCTGAGCTGCGGCACCCCGCTAGGTCTCCGTAGGTGCTATTAGGTGCTGTTCTGAGCATTATTTGTGGCTATAGAGTGGCGTTTTGGTTGAGGTTTGTTTATGGCTCCTCAGACCTCTCTGTATTTCTATCCTGCGGTCGTTACTAAAGTTGGTATAACTAGAGAAGCAAGCGGTCAGAAACATTCTAACTCGGTGTTATGGTGTGTTAATTTTACGTCAGAATATCCTTTTACACTCTGATGAAAACTTGAAACTCTGTCATCTTTCTGTTTCCTCTCTGCAGGGGCGTCTCCAGATTTTAAGTCTGGGGTGGCACATCTAAAACACTGGTATAAGTCGGGGTGGCCAGGCTGTATGTTCAAATACAGATCATTAACATTTACCTCCTCTGTCTCTACTTTAATTATTCTCTTGTGTTTAATTGCAGAAGGACACTCGCGGCTCATCTCCATAATTCAGCCTTCGCTCTGCACGCGCTCATGCATGTACATGTTCTCCTTGAAGTCCTCAGACCTTCTTCCTGAAGGCTGTTGTCCTTCAGGTCCTTGTGTATATGGAGCGGCGACCCGCTGAGCGTGTTCACAGGCGTGTGCAGGAATGCGGGTGCGTGCCTCACACCTTTCTTTGCCAACACAATGCCTGCAGTTGTAATGTATATTTCATGCTTTGTTGGCCCTCGCTGCACGTCGAGCCTCGGCAGCCATCAAACATTTATACAGCAGAAGCACATTTACATATCAAGGGACCCCGCTCAGCCAAATCTAGGTGGAGAGACTACCTCTCCCTCTCTGTCCCGCTATCACCCTCTCCGTATGTTTCACGTCTTAGGCTGTTTTTTCAGTTTCTGCCCCCTCCTCGTCCAAACACCCACCTTTTTGTTCTAATCCTCTTTGGTTAAAAGCCTCTTTGTCTCTCCTCTTTGTCTTCTCTTTCATGTTCATTATTCATTTCTCCTCTGATTGCTCTAAAAAGGAGACGAGCCGAGAGCGGCGGTCTCCTCCAGCGTGGTGTGGATGTGCACAAACGGTGCAGCGAATTCTGCAGGATAAACAAAAACATGTGAATTTCACAGCAGAAACTCTGAGTTTTACTTGTTTTCTTGAAGTTTGAAGTACCTCCTCTGAATTTGAAACCAGCTGACAGACATCAAACTTATTTCAGGGATATTTCTCTGGTTTGAAGTGGAGGTGTCTGTCGCTGGTGGATTAAATTACAGAAGAGAAGAAGCAGCAGCTGTTAGCGAGCTAGCTGGAACCCACCTGTTCAGATTAACACACTCCCTATGATTTTACCTTGTCATATTTTTGTTTATTTTATTTATACATAAATATTTTTTTTTCTATTTCATTTTATTTTCTCTTTTGCTCTTATCTTGTTGTTTTATGTTGCTGCTTTTACTCTGTAAAGTGTCCTTGAGTGTCCAGAAAGGTGCTTATAAATTATAATTTTTTTTTATTATTATTATAACAGCTGTCTGAGAGGTGGTTGAACACTTTAAAATAGTAGTGTACTTCAAAATAAAAGCACAGTCTTATAATGCAGAAAAATACTACACAATAAAAGAACCAGATTAAATAATTTTCTGTATGATTTTGAAAAATTAAGTCTTTTTCTTATCAGAATTACATGTAGTAAAACTATTTTTTTGCAGGATGAAGTCCTAAGAAAGTCAAGAAGTGATATAATGAGGATAAAGTTATATTCTAACAAGAATAAGGGTGAACACTTTATACTGAAGTCCCAGTTATAAGCATTAGATAACAGTTAATTAGCCTAATGTGATAATATCATCATGAGGTGAAAATCAATCGATCAGAGTCAGAGTCCAGCCAACATCTCCAGACATCCAGGTGTGATTTTCTGTTTCTGCAGCCGGACCATCATTAAACTCAGACATGGTGCTTTCTCTCTCTCTCTCTCTCTCTCTCTCTCTCTCTCTCTCTCTCTCTCTCTCTCTGTATTCTGAATTAAACTGTTTTTTTTACTCTTTAAGTATCCCCCCCCTCTCTGCAGCTGCTTCGCTCTCATCTTTCAGCTGACATCCTTTCTCCTCCACGTTTTCTCTCTCTGTCTAAACTCCTCTTCGTCTCGTGTCCTCCCTCTCTCCCAGGGCAGCGCCGCCTTTCTCCTCTTTTATCTGCCGGCCTTGCCTCCCTGTTGGTTGTTTTTTTCTGCTCCCCCTCATCCTCTCATCTCTTTTTCTTTCTCTGATCTTCTCACCCACATTTTTCTGTATCTGCTGCACTTTCTCTCCCTTTTTGTGTCCCACCATTAAACACTCCCCCGACTTCCACAGCTCCTCAGCAGCTTGTACATTAAAACTGCAGGCACCGACACATGAACGATGTCCTGTCCTCAGCACATCTGTCCATGTTACAGCGCAGATCTTTCTCTCTCTCTGCAGGTGGGGCTGTCTCCTGGTTGCAGGTTGGGTGGAGGACATCACTCGCTTCAGGGTAGGACAGAAACACGGGAAGTTTGTTCTCTAGAAGCTCCCCGGTGGTATCAGACTGTGGAGAGCAACACTTCATACAATCTGCTGTAGAAACCCAATCTTAGGATCCCGAGCTGTTCATCATCTGCAAAAAAAGAGAATAACTCAGCTGGAGATCATCTGCAAAAATACCGGCAATGTTAAAACAAACAATCATCAAAACGGTAATCTTTTTATACAGTCTTGTATTTCTGTGCCTTATTTTGCTTTTTACACGGCACTTCTTTTGAAATGGATGAGGTTACTGACAATGTAAGACCCTTCATACGTTAGTGAAAACTATAAAAATCTAGTGTTTCGGTCTCTTCAACAGAAGTTACTCATGCTAAAAAAAATATTTGTTTTTTTTTTGCATCATTAATTTCTGTTGTGGCTTTTTAAAAAAAAAATTTATTATCCTTTTTTATTTGAAGTAGTGGCGGTTCTCGGCCACCGTAGGTTTTTTTAAAACTGCTGCATAACATTTAATTTAACTGCATCTTAACAAGGACTTAACATATAAAATATCCACTCCTGTGAATCATAAACTGAGACTTTTATTTACTAAAAACGAAACATTTTAGTCGGCCAATGAGAGCTCTTTGACCAACTAATCAATCAACCAATGAGAGGGTGTCAAACCAGTGAAATTCACCTGTCAAGAGGCTCAGTCGGGCATTTTTCAATCTTAGTTTTCTTTTAAAAAGAAGAGAAACAAACTAGTTTTTGAAAATACCTATATGAGTGTGGACAGAGACAGAAAATCAAACTGTTGACTTTTTTTTTTTTTTTTGAGCTGGTTAATACGACGAAGTATAAGGGCCACATTAAGAAAAAAAAAGACTTCTTAATTAATTACTAATGAGAATAAAGTCGTAAAAAAATCATCACTTCATTTACCCCATAACCTCATTTATTTAACGACTTTACTCTCTTAAGAAATGATTTTATTACGACCTTATTCTCATAAATTATGATTTAATTATAACTTTATTCTCTTAAGTAATCACGAAGTCTTGAATTTTTTTTTTTCTAAATATGGCCATAATACTCCGTCCTAGGTTGAAGAGGTTAAAACCAGAGCAGTGGTGACTTTAACCTGCAATACTCCTAAAGCCAGCAGGGGGCGACACTACAGGTGGCAAAATGGAGTTGAATTGAGCGAGGGTTGTTTGTGTTTTCAGTCAATTTATAATCTCAGTACACAGTGTTGAGATGAGTATAAGGTCTGGTAGTTTCAAGTCTTCTTTCCTATTAAAAAACGTTTATTTTGAGAATCATTGAGGAAACATTTCAGACAAGACTAAAAACGACTAAAATTAACCACCAATTTTTAAAAAATGACTAAAACTTAATTAAGTCAAATAAAATAATCTGACATAAGCACATTAGTAAGAAGTAAGAAACTTTAACACACAGACAGTAGAAAAAGTTTAATTTCTTGTCCACCTTCATGACGGTAAAAACCTTCGTTGGTACTCTCAGTTGAAGCGCTTCAGCACGTCTCTGACCCAGCTGTAATACACCTCCAGTGAGTTTCTCCGTGGGTTTAAAACTCCCCTCATCCTCGGCAGATCAGCTACTGGCAAACAAGCTAAAAACAGGTGTAGCTAGCTCGTGTGAGGTGAGCGCAGAGGTCCTGACAAACAGCAGCGAGCTGAATTACCAGCAGGGAGAGTGACACAGTGTGTACTACAGGGGCACACACTCAGCAGCATGCAGCCGCCGGGTCTCTGCCTCTACCTGTCAAGGCCAAACAGAGGTGAAAATGGAATTATTCAGTGCTGCGTCCAGAGACAGCTGGTGGGAGACGGAGAAGTGAGGCTGAAAGAAAAGCAGAGAAGAAGGTTTTTGTACCTGTCAGGTAAAGACATATCTGATCATTTCAGACCTCAGGAGTGGAGGTTTGTACTTCGATTTTTTTAGACGTGTTTCTGTAAAATCTGTGGACAAAAAAAAAGCTCCATGCATTTCCTATAGTTTCATAAAATCATGTAGGTTTTGATAGGAAGCTTAAGTTAGCAGGAAGGATAAAAGCTGGAGGGTCCTTCAGCATGCTGAGTGATTTCAACCACTGAGAATTTAGCAGCAAAACTGAACTGTGCACCCCACAGAGACCGGGAAACACTAAACTACAGAGAAAACCTCACCTTGAAACCAGAAAGTCAGCTCGGAGTTTCCTTTTTCTGCTCTAAATCAGTCTGTTTCTGTAAAAGAGCTTCACTAGAGCAGAAAGGTGCAGAAGAACAGAACATGGGATCATCAGCATCAGGATTAAATCTACAGTCTAATGATGTTTCACAGAGAACCCCGTGACCCTCGTATGCCGAGTGTTTATGGATGCCCTGTTGGATTACCAGTGGTCTGTGTGCTTCCGCGCTGTGGTCTCTGGTGTAATTCAAGGCAACATCTCTTTGCTGCACGTCTATTTCCTCCTCCAAAACCTAAATTCTCCTGCAGGAGTGGAGGACAGCAAAAGGAAGTCCTGGTCCTGGGTCACAGAGCAAAGACTAGAGCTTCCATCATTTTTCAGCCTCAGTTTCTTTACAGGTTTCTGTATATGGAGTTAAAAGACAAAGAGTCATTGATCAGGAATCTCAGGTATTGTAAGATCATCCAGATCAATCACAGGACCTGGAGAATTACCCCCGATTTCCACCTTCATCCTGATCGTCTCCTAAAAGGTCGTATCCTCCGATCGTAATCATTCAAGTTAACGTGTCAATTTCCCCCGCCTTCTTTCCGTTCCTCTGCGGATCGCCGGACTCCTCAGCTGATCACAAGAGTTCTATTTTTTCCTGATGCCGGAGCATGGCGGATAAATTCAGCACAGATTAACCCGTGCTGGAAAGGAAGTCGGGCACAGACACAAAATAAAACATCCGTCTTCTTTTCAAAATAAAACACTCCGTGTTTCAGGAGGATCGTATTTCACACCATGCAAACGGGCGGAGACGAACAAGTGAAAGGTTTTTAGACGTCATTTCACCCCGATGACACCATGGATGAGGAGATGCTGATTCTAGAAGTCTAGAAGTAGATTTCCTCCTCTGGAAGGACACAATCTACTGCTTATATGTCTATGTGTCTGTCCTTATAGAGACAACTCATAATTGTGCGATTGCATGTGAATGTGTTTTTTTTTTTTGAGTTCTCACGATTCCCGCTGTCCGTATATTCGCCTCCAGATATTTCATAATTTCGTCACAGACAGTTTTTTATCGGTCCTCACTAAGGATAGAGACAACATATTTGAAGTAGTGTCTGAGTTCACAGATCTCTGTTTAGTCCACTTGATTTTTTTCAGTCCTCTAGAGCCTTCAGAGAAGATGGTCCCCGGAAGTAATGATCAGAACATCGGTCCTCTTTAACCATGGAAACCAGTGTGTGTGTGTGTGTGTGTGTGTGTGTGATGACATGAGCAGCATCCCCCCCCCTCCTTCCTCTCAGCTCTGCTGCACAAACACACCTGCATGTAATCAGCTCGTCACCTCTCCTGATCGGCTCACCTGCCTCTCATCAGTCATCCTCCTGCAGGTACATCTACCTTCACGCTCTTCACTCTTTGTTTGCCAGATCAACTCCTGCCTGACTGTCTCTACTTCTCTTCCGCCCCTGATATCCAAACTCCTGTCAAACCTGGCGTTGTCGTCATTTTGACTTCAGACCGCGTGTGGAAACTTTTGAAGAGTTTTTGGTTAATCCTTTGAACCATCATTCAGAGAACATCCAGAAAACAAACCTCAGCAGATTTCAACATTAAATTTGCTTTAAAAAGTTTATTTCAGTGAAGTCGGCTCTAAAATATTTAGCAGATGGTTATTCCCTCAAGTGTCTGTCACAGTGAACCTCCAAACTCGTCTCCTTTCTGCTCTGTTCTGCAGCTGCTGTGTAACTTCCAGCCCGTCTCTCTCCCTCCTCTTTACACCTTCGATTCACACACTCCCTCCATCTTTTCTATGAATCCCTCTCATTGACACTGAAGGCCGTGTGTTTGTGTGTCAGAATCAATACGCGTCCCTCTGTGGGGGATCGGCTCTGAATGTTGAGTGTGTTTCTTTCATGCTGAAGGAGAGATGAGGAAGCTTTACTTAGCGAGGCGGTTTAACCTCAGGGGGAAACGAGAAATCTGAAGTTTCCCGTTGACATCCCGGATCTTTTTAACCTCCTGAGTGCAGCGAGATGGTGTGGACACAAGTTTGAATAAACACAGAAGGAGGATTATGGGAAGTTTTCCTCTTGTTTTCATCACTTCTCCTCATCTACAGTGTACGATTGTCAAAATAACACGGAGCCCTGTGATTGGTCGGCTGTTTACTGTTCATTTGTAGCATCCAGCACGTTGATTGATTAGTGGAAACACTGGAGGACCAGTACGTCAAAGTTTCAGTCCTCCGTGGAGTTCCTCAGGGCTCTGTTAACCCCTCGGTTCCTGCTACGTCCGTTTTGAGAACATTTGTCATTTTTATCATTTTTATTTTAATCTGACAGTCACAGTTTTAAAGATTGGGGCTTCAAATTTGGTGAGAGATCTTATTTTTCTTCACATTAAAAAAAAAACATGTCGCCCGTAAAACTTTGTTGCCGCATTTTAGCTCCGCCCACCCCCCTTTGTCCTCAAATCGGCCAATAGACTTCCACTAAAAACAGGTTTTTTGAGCGTGTGTTTACGGCTCCATAACAACATATTAAACCTTTTTTCTGCAGTCAGTCCATCAGCAGGGCTCTAAATCTGACTTTCCCACAGTGAGACAACAGACTGAGCCGCACATCATTTTAATTCTTCAAGTCTTCATTCATGGACTGAGAGAGTTTGAAGATTCATCCACTAAACATCATCAGACATGAAGGAAACTTTACATGACACTAGATATGGATGTCTAAGAGTGGGATATGTGTGGAAGGAAAAGTCTGTGTGCTCCTGCGTGTGTGCACGGGTGAGAATCTGCGTCCATGTTTAGAACCGGGCATGACGTGAGCGGAGTTTCAGTCGAAAATGCGACGTCCAAGTTTGACAGTTTCAACTTTGTCCTCACTTCAGGGCAGGTAGATGGACATGAATGAGGATGAACAGGTCCTTCAGATCATTAGGGGAGAAGATATCACATCTCAAATATACAGTTATTTTTATATCAGTGTAATCAGGGTCATATTTTGGTTAGAGGAGGATAAACACTTGTAAATGATTCCTATCTTACAGATATCTCCTGATTTTATATGTCAATATATAGAATTAATTTATTATGAACAAATGAATTTGATCACATTTGATTTGGTAGAGGACGAGAATCGAGGAATGGAGGTGAAAATGACGTGTTTTTCCACTCAAAATGAGTCAGCTGTTTAGAACGAACACTTTATCAATAAATATGACATGGTGAACAAAAACTGTAATAAAAATGGTAAAACATCATATTTTTTATTTGTTACTTTTTTTAATGATCAGAGTTGAAGTTGTTTAAGAGATCTGAGTCTAAAAAAGTTTAAAAGATTGTTTAAAAATGATTATTTTATGAACTCTTATCTGCATGTCTGTTTTAGGGACAAAGTCGGCTGGATGGAGCTTCAAATGAACAGAAACCGAGGGTTATAGGACCTGTTCTGATTGAATCATACAAATGTATTATTTCTAGGTAAAACTATTGTCAGTTTTCGTCAGAATTATTTTCATTTAGATAAAATAGTTTACATGTAGAAGTTTCTGGGAGTCTGTGTTCTTGAATCAAAGTAAAATCTGATATCATCATCGATCGATTTCATTGTCCATACGAGGTTAAACTCACAACTCCTCCCTGCGTTCCCTCAAATATTTTCTGCCTCAAACTTCTTTAAACTTTTTAAAAAAAGGACCTCTGATTTTGAGCTTATGCACTCCCACTTTTTTCTCCCTCACTTCACTCGTTAATTATCTCTCTGTCGCTCTACTGGAGCCGAACTCTTTCTTCCTGCAGCCTCATCCTCAAAGTTAAAGCTAATACAGCTGTGACAGGTGAAACTCTGCAGGTCTGGGTCCTGACACTTCAGCTGCTGTCGTCTGAATAACTCCCATGGCTTCATCTTATGGTTATAATTTGCATTCACTGCTGGGAGAACCACTCGATTACAGATATAGCTCCCCGGCGGCTAACGGCGTCAAAGAGCTTTTGATTTAATAGCGGTGGAGATTTTAACAACTCCTTTGCCTCCCGAGAGCTCAGTGAGAAGCTCTTGAAGGGTCGAGTGTTAACTGATCTGTAACCACTTAGATTTCACTCATTGAGCAGAGACGTGGGATATAAAATACCAAAGCATCCTTTGGGACCAAACCATGAAATGCTCCTGTTTGTTCAATTTCACACTTTCCCCCTCTTAAATCCCGCTGATTTGGAGTACGACTCGGCACATTTGGACCAAAAGAACGTGTTTCCACCGCAGCTTAAAGAACCGTGAAGATCACGCCAATGAAGTATGGAGGAGCAGAACAGTAGCTGCAATTACACTGCCAGTCCAGTAGGTGGTGGAAAGCAGAGGGCTGTACAATAGAGATGATGCTGGACCAACCTGCACTGTCATTGGTCTAAAACCGTAGTTAGCCTATTAGCATGGAGGTCATCTAACTTTAACAGCGTACTTCCTTGTTAATTAGTTAACTTATTTTAAAGCAGAGAGATGTGAGACGCTCTGACAACACCAAACATCGTCTGTCTCCATTATCGGCTCGCTGCTCTAAATCATTTCCTGCATGAACCTCATTCACCTTTTTAGTGATGAGTCAGACCAGCCGGTAAACATCCATTTGGCTGTTTTTTTTATTTCTCTGAGGTAAAACTCTCAACTGTGACCAAATATCCAAAATCACTGTCTGACAAACCAGTCTGGAAATATTAACCAGTCTTTGAGGCTTTTTTGGTTTTACTTAATCTGAAGTTTTAACAGTAGAGAACCGAGGATGACATGAAAGTCAAGTTGACTCAAGTCCAAATCAGTCTACGACACACATTTAATCCTCACTGATCTTCTAACCCCAAATTTCCACCGTATCCAGAACAGCTGCAAAAAGCCTGTATCTGCCAATCGTAGCTGATCGTAACCATTCAAGTTAACGTGTCAATTTACACCGACTTCTTTCCGTTCCTCTGAGGATCCCCGGACTCCTCAGCTGATCACAAGAGTTCTATTTTTTCTGGACGCCGGAGCATGGCGGATAAATTCAGCACAGATTAACCCGTGCTGGAAAGGAAGTCGGGCACAGACACAAAATAAAACATCCGGCTTCTTTTCAAAATAAAACACTCCGTGTTTCAGGAGGATCGTATTTCACACCATGCAAACGGGCGGAGACGAACAAGTGAAAGGTTTTTAGACGTCATTTCACCCCGATGACACCATGGATGAGGAGATGCTGATTCTAGAAGTCTAGAAGTAGATTTCCTCCTCTGGAAGGACACAATCTACTGCTTATATGTCTATGTGTCTGTCTTCTCAACCCATTATCACGTGATTGCATGTAGATTTGTGGGTTTTTGTGAGTTCTTGTGAGTTCCCGTGATTCCTACTATCCGTAATCCGCCACAAAATTCGCCTCACAAACGCATCTGGTGGGAAATGGCAGACAGCGAAAATCGCTGCCGTTCTGTTGCGAAACCGTTTCCGAATGTGGTGGAAATTGGGGTGAGCCTGGCCCCTGACAAGACTTTTACAGGTCAGCTGATTGCAAATACAGTCACTGATTGGACAGACCCAACAAAGATGGCCGCCTCTATCTTAAACAATCTGCTCGTGAAAGAAATGACAGTTTCACTGAAATTGATGCTGAATCATCACAGACCACCTTCGGTCTCCTGGATGTCGCAGAAACACACAAACACCAAAAGTTACCGGCCCCAAGTTACCGGCCTTTTACATGACTGTTTTAAAGCTGATAATCTGTGATACTCAAACTTAAGTTTTCTCTTTCTTAAGTCTTCAGTTGAAAGACTTCTCAGGACTCAGCCTGGAGTTCCTGCTTTACTGACAATTACAGAACAAGTTTAACAAACACCATCTCTGTCTCAGTTCCTCTCTCCGGTCGCTCGGTACCTCGTCTCTGTCACTCTCGCTCTCCAGCAGCTCCTTTCTACCAAACTTTGACTCATGTTTGGCAGCTCTTGCTAACTCTCCTCACTGGCCTGTCACTCAGACTGAAGACTGTCACTCGGATCTGTCAGTCTGAGAAAAGTGGCGCTCCTGACAGATGTTGACAGTCCCTGACAATGGCACTCCTGTCTGAATCTGCTTTTTGGAAATTGATCCCTGAAATCCCCTCGGCGCTCAGACAGGACAGACAGAACGAACAGCTGTGGAGCCGAACTTTGTTCAAACTAACAACTTTATTTCTCACTCTGGTGAGGATCTCGTGGTTCTCAAAGGTGCTGAATATGGAGGACAAGTTTGAAGGAAATATTTTCATTTTAATGGAATCATGGAGAGTCACCCCTGATGTGGATATTTATTATGATCTGTTCGAGGGAAGAGAAAGAAATAACCTTCAATAACCTCCAGCCTTCAGACTTTACTATTACTTCTATACTCCTTATACCAACAACGCTAAAATCTTTTTCACACAAAAGACACAAAATAAAACATCCGGCTTCTTTTCAAAATAAAACACTCCATGTTTCAGCTGGTGGATTGTATTTCACACCATGCAAACGGCGGGGACAAACAAGGTTTATACGGAGCATTTCATCCCGATGACACCATGGGTGAGAGGATGCTGATTTTGTGGTTATTATATGGTTAGCCTATGTGGCTAAGACAACTCATTATGGCGTGATTGCATGGGAATCCGGGGTTCTTGTGAGCTCTTGCGATTCCTGCTGTCTGAAATCCGCCATGAAATTCGCCTCACAAACGGATCCGGTAGGAATTGGCGTACGGCGAACATTACCGCTGTTCTGGATTTGAGCAGTTTCGGATACGGTGGAAATCCCGGGTTAGGGGTGAAAAACTGCCACTGTCGCACCTTCATGTGGTTTGATGCCTTTCAAATAAACCGGACAGTTATAACGTCGGCTCATTCCGGGCGGTGTTCTGCCAAATAAACTCTGTTTTGAAAGTCATCCTTTCTCCACCACATAAACAATGAACGAAACACTAATTTTCTACTTTCACTTCAGTGTCCGTACATTAAATGTGTTTGACAGCAGCAGACAAAGTGGCGAGCCGTCAAGTGCTTTACTCAAGACCAAAGAGCGGTACTGAAGAAGAACCTTAGACCCGTATCCATGGTTACATAGACGCACTTTACATTTGTAAGTCGATCCACTTTACTTTCACTCCTCGAACAAACCAACAAAGTTCACCTGGAACTAAACTAAGAGTTTGAATGAGTTTTTTCACCACTCCAGAACAACCGTCTCTCAGTTCAAGTGGACCGAACAGCTCTGGCATAAATGTGACCTCAAAGAGGAGGTGACGTATGTCGACCTCATCCACATGGGTTTGTCTCTGCATGTTGAGCTCCTTAAAACGCCTCTTTAGGTGCAGATTTGTGAAGACTCTTGTCATGTGGACAGAAGGAACGAAAGTTTGTCACCTCAATTTGTGCATGTTTGTAAATTGTGTGCATGCCCAAGATGGCGAGCTATCGGCCTCTTCTCCAGTAAAGCAGAGTATTTTTTTTTCTCCTCCTGTCATTGTTTGACTTAATGATGCGTGAAAGATTAGGGGCCGGTCCGATCATGTGTAAGTCACATTCAGGTTAGTGTTCGATGTCTGCTTTGGAAATCAAACTCATCTGGAGCGTCTGTCAGAGTCTGTTCTCCTGTAAGGGTTGTTCAAACCTTTGAAGACAAACGTTGAAAAATGTCGACGCAGTTGTAGAAAATTTGTCTCGTAGCATATTCATCTTCAGAGTTGGAGGGAATTATCCGAGTTTGACATTGTTCTCATTTTACAGTCTCTTTGTGAAACCGCCGAGGACCCTGCCGCAAATATTTAATAAGAGCGCGGTTTGAAAACAGCATCCTGCTCGACATTTATGAGGAATTATTCAGCCGACATAAATTTGAATGAAAGACCAGAGTTCAGCCGTGAAAGCTTTTAATAGAACAGAAGAAGAAGAAGAGGTACCGGCGTAAAACCGGACCGTAAAAGGCCTGTTGTGTTAATGAGGTGAGAGGAGGTCTTTGATTCACTGACCTAAGAGAGCCTCAACAGGACAAATCTCCATCAAATCCCTCTGGTTATGGAGTGGTAATCTGGTCTAAGTGAAGCTGAACCGTCGCCTCCACGGTGGGAGAAAGCTCCTCCTGGTCCAGGGAGTCAGGGGAGGTATGACAGGCCTGCTCCGCCTCGAACCCATCAGCTGAATAATTACAGCTAACCTGCTTCTCCACAGGGCTTTGCTGCTATAAACGGCCTGCTGTCTCACACTAATGGAAAATTACAGCCGTGGCAGTGTTGCAACAGCAGACTCAGGTCACGGGGGACCCGGTTGGACGTATTCAGGTCAGTAACAGTCTGGAGAAGAAGAGTGAGGCCGTTAAGTAAAGAAACACACGAGCAAATAGGAGGCGACTTTCCCTGTTGTTTCCTGTGACTCCTCGGATCCCAGAAATGTCCTGTTTCTGCACGTCAACTCGACGGTGGGGTCCTCTGAGGTTTCCTTTACCGCGGACCGTCACGACAGGGTTCCAGTCCTGACCTGTCAAACCCAGCAGGGGGGCGTGGACCTGAATGTAAAGCCTCAGCACAAAGGAATGAGCGGAGGAAGGATTAAATGAGAACACACTGTTTTAATTTGAAGGGACGGCTGTCGAGTTATGATAAATGTGGAGAGTGAGGGACAAGATTAGTGCCGCAGTGTGGACTGTAGCCTCTGTGAATAACTAAAGGAAGTCCACTTCGGTCCAAAACTCAGCTTCTTGTCATCTCAGCCGATCCCTTCATACAATCACAGATCAATATCTAAACTAATATCATGCAAACATATCAGGACAGCAACTCCTTACTGGCAGGTTTCCCTGCTCGTGTTTCCATCCCGACAGGTTCTCAGTTCCCAAACTCGGCTCTTCTCTTCAGTCGCCCACCTTTAGATTAGATCCACACAGTCCCCCTCTACTTCTGAGCCACTTGTTGACACAGCTTTTCGTGATAATAGCGCTGATGTTGCGTCTCCATGTTGATGATTAAAACTAAAAACAAAAACTCCTGAACTCTGGAGTTGGCAGATGCCTAAGAACAGTTCCAGCTAACCTCGGACTAATCTGTAAAGACAGAACTTTTGAGTTGTTTAATGACTTTAGAAAAATAACAAATGTCTAACTTTAAATCGGCGGAAAAGAGGCACAAAAGGAGCTCTTAACGCAAAGACGAAAAAGTGCAAAAATGAGTGTTTTCATGGACAGCAGTTTAATATAATGAAGGACAAAGTTTCCTCACATGTTTCAGACATAATTAAAAGTCTTGTAAGTATAATAGGAGCTCTGTCATAGAGTGCAGATCTTTGGATGAATGTTTGATGATTTACTATCACCAATATTCACATCAAGCATTTTCCTTTTCAGTCGTCTCTGCAGCACTGATGTAACTAAATCCACAAACTTCCCTCCGTCTATATTTCATCAGATTTTTAAAAATTTAATCGAACTTTCACCAAACTCCTGCGGTTCTCCTCTGCTCGGAGAAAGTTGTGAATCCTTTCAAACTGTGTAAATTCCATCAAAGGGTAATTCACTGAGTAATTGTTCTGATACGCTCAGGCTGTTATCTGTTGTACGTCGTATCTGCTGAGGTTCTCAAAGGAGAATTTCACACCACAGCAGACATGCTAACAAGATTCTGCCTTTTGTTGTTGTTTCACTCGCGGCCGCAGCTGTCTAATCCCTGTTTGCTCGGGGGAGACTGCGAGCCGGCGGCGGCAGCGGCGGCGGCGTTCTCTTCCCACAAGTTTCCTGTTTCAACTGTGAGGTGTGACACAGATTCATCCTAAAATGTGTCTTTTGAGTTTGAACACACTTCCCCTGTGGGCTTAAACAGCGGCTGTGGGGGTTTTATAGTTTAATCGAGGATGGCGTTCAGATTTCTGCAATTGACACGTTTTCACTGTGGGAATAAATATGGAAACACCCAAGATGCACCGCTCACATCTCCAGACTAGATTCACCAATGTATGTCCTCATGACAGACTTCGCCAAATATGGACATCGTCTCATTAACTTCCCCCAACAGTTTGTGAAATGAGTTTTGAGGCCGATCAACGATAGTCGCCATTTGCTAATTTAAAGGTTGGGTAGTCGAGATCTGAGGATTTATGTTGATGTTCATCCAGCTTCGCTCTTGTCCGGTCTACCTCCGTTTTAAGCACCCGTTATTCCTCCAGAGTCTCCTGTATTTACTTTGTTTTCTTGCTTGTGACGGCAGTCGTGGCCAACAAGGACGAAGTATCGGTCGGCTCAGAAGGGACGGATCTAAAGATGTAGATCTGTTTGGAAAAAGGCTGAAAGATGGTATTTCACATCTATGTTTGCACTTCTCTGGGAAAGATTCACCAGAAGCATCAAATCAGCTGCTTTGAATAGTAAACTTGTTCAGCAGCTAATCAAAAGGGAGCACTAAGATCCACTCCACCACTTTTCAAGACGAGAATAGCAGAGGTAAGTTTTCTAATTTATGAAAAAGCTTTCGGTTCAAATCTGAGTGTTTTTTATAGCTAGTGTAGGGTGACCATGTTCTGACTTCCCAAAAAGAGGACACGACTATGCAGGGGCAGAGTAACAGAGTCGCACAAAGATAATTTTGAAAGTTTTTCGGGTCGGATCGAGTGTCTTTTACGCGCTTCTAACTCAATAAGTCCACGTGACACAGACTCGAAACTTCCGTGAAAAACATTTAAAAGGAATTTATAAACTTATAAACAAGCCTGGACAAAAAAAGAGGACATGTCCGGGTAAAAGAGGAGTGATGGTCACCCTAAGCTAGCGAGCTCCTCTTCAACGCAAGAGATAGACGCTTCTTAAGGCACAATACAGTTCATGGGATGATGTAAACCCTAATGAACTGAAGAGGAGCAAGTGTTTGAACCTGGGGAAAAGTCTGAGAGAGAGCTTTTAACAACTTACTTAAAAAATGCTGTTTTTGGTTGAAGACACTTGAAATAAAAAAGTCCAAAAGGAGATCTTTGCAGGAGAAGCTGGGAGTTAAAGAGCTTGAACTAAACAAGATCAAACAGCTTTAAAAACTGAAATTTTGTCAGAATTCAAACTTTTTATTCTGGTTGTATGAAAGGAAAAAAAAGCTTCCATATTCGTAATAATCATTCAGATATGTAAAAAGTAAGCTATGGCTGGGAGACTTACAGTTTATACGCCTCCTTTTAATGTACGCCACACTTTTCTTACAGTCCGGGTCCATGAAGTCATTTCCTCTGTTTGTCTGTGACTGTGATTACAGTCGTGGAGAAATGTGTTCATAATTACTGCTCAGTTTACGTTGTGAATCACTTTATAATGAATTCCAGTTTAGACGGTGACGGGGGCGAGTCTCTCAGTGAGCGCTGCTGGGATGTTGATGAGTCAACCGCCCGTGATGTAATTCGGAGGCAGCACATGATAATTAGGTCACATCAGCAACATAAAACCCTGCAGGGGCTCGTATGCAGAAAAGTCTCTGTAAGCACAAATGTAAAAATATGCAAATGTGCATTTTTGTGGCGTTTTTAAAAGTTTGAATGTTCTGTAATGAAAACGAAAAAAAGAGAGCGAGAGGAGAGGATGTGTAAAACTCTGATGTCCGTGTCCCAGCTTCCCCAAGGTTGTACAAGCAAATCTACAGAACCGATTTTTTGAAAACCAGAACCGGTTTTTCTAAAGTTTGTTAGAGTTTGAAATGTTGTTCTGGTTTGGAGAGGATACAGATCAGACCTGCATGGAGCTGAAACGAAACAGGAGTCAAATCTAGAATGTTTACTCGGGTTACCCCCAATTTCCAACGCATCCCGAAAAGGTTGTCACCGCCAATCATCGCTGATCGTTTTCATTCAAGTTAAGTCCTCTGCGGATTGCTGAACTCTGCAGCTGATCGCGAGAGTTCTATATTTTCCGGACGCCGGAGCATGGTGGATAAGTTCAGCACAGATTACCCCGTGCTGGAAAGGAAGTCGGGCACAGACACAAAATAAAACATCCGGCTTCTTTTCAAAATAAAACACTCCGTGTTTCAGGAGGATCGTATTTCACAACATGCAAACGGGCGGAGACGAACAAGTGAAAGGTTTTTAGACGTCATTTCACCCCGATGACACCATGGATGAGGAGATGCTGATTCTAGAAGTCTAGAAGTAGATTTCCTCCTCTGGAAGGACACAATCTACTGCACGCTGTCTGTAATCTGCCTTTAGAGAGACAACTCGTTATCGCGTGATTGCACGTGAATTCATGGGTTCTTGTGAGTCCTCGCAATTACCATTGTCCGTACTCCACCACGAAATTCGCCTCACCAACGGATCTAGTAGGAATTGGCAGACGGAGAAAATCACCGCCATTTCAGATCAGAGCCGTTCCAGATGCGGTGAAGAAGAACCAAGCAGACTCTGAGTTGAGTCCTTGCCACCTGAGTCCAGGTTCAGTTAGAGTCCTCCTGTTTGGAATATCAGGATCAGACCCAGCACCAGTTAAACTTTGATTCTGATCAATAAGTTGACCCAGAGTTGAGTTGTTCTGACTCTGAGTTCTGCTGTGATCGGGTCGTGACCGCAGACAGGCACAGACGTTAAGCTCATGCTTCATTTTAATGGCGCTGTCGTTGGACTGTAACTTTGCTCAGATGACGGATCTTCCTCTCGACAGGATCCACATGACGGCTGGGACGCTGAATAATTTTCAGGGTACAACATTCAAAGTTTACATGGAACAAATCCCACGTTTCAAAGCTCTTGTCATTTCAGATACAGAGTGAGAAATAAGAGTCAGAGAGGACCAGGCTGTCACTGTGGATAGTTTTCACTTTCAGTGATTCGTATTCCCTGTAAACTTCTCATCCCTCCACTTTTCATCCACTTTTCTCTCCCCCCCAAACTTCTCTGTTCCTTCTTCTTACATTTCCTCTCCCCTGTCTCCACCCTTCTCCTCTGCGTCCCTCTTTTCCTCTCCGTCGTCCTCCCTTTCTTCCTCCCTTCCTCCTTTGTTCTCGCATCACTTCTCGTCTCCTCTCCTGAGCGACGACAGGCGTCCCTCTGCACCTCGGCTCCTGTCTCAGCTGAAAGATGAGGAACAGTGCGCCGTTCGTCATCTCTGCAGGGTTCACATCAGGTGTTAGTTTCGGTGAAGCTTCAACCGCACGAGGGAAACACTTAACGGCATTTATCAAGTTAAAGTAAAGAGGAGAAACTTCCTTTAACAGGCAGAAACCTCGAGCAGAACCAGATTCATGTTAGACCGTCATCTGCCGCTTCAGCAGACGGTAAAAACTCTAAATGATCTAAAAATGTCTGCTGGGTTCATGTTTGACAAAAACTGCTCAGGTTCAGATAATCACGACGGAGGGAAACCAGACCAGGAGTGTAACTTCAAAATAAAACAGGAAACACCGACAGCAGAACTTCAGAATAAAACTCATAAGGATACCAAATAAAAACAGACCTGAAATAAAGAATAAATCCTGACACAAAGGGGTCTTCATTATCACATACAGGAGGTGGCCTTCTCATTTTCATCGCCCCGCCCCTCAAACAGCCTGAGTACGCCACTGCTCGCCACCAACTTCAACTTCCTCTTAACTAACAAAATGCGGTCCGACATGAAGTCTCAAAAACGAGGCGCGGCGTCCTCAGGTCACCTCATGGCATTTCCACTGCTGAGAATCTGGACGTCAATAATTGATATTTTGACATTTGCAAATGTAATTGGGATTCGATACCGCCTCATTTTTTCTATTATAGATGTGTGAAATTGAAAAATGTAAAAGTTAAACATTCAATTATAGATATTTGTAATTACGTTTGAATAAAAATCAACAGTGACAGTCGAAAAGCCTCGTTTATCTATAATGAACAGTCCCAGTAAAAAGAAATGAATCACTGGTTTTATAAGTGTGCATGTATCGTTAATTTAATTCACTCCCAGTCAAAATTACATGAAGGATTAAACAATTACAGAAAGGGATTGGTGGTATCTTCAACGACTAACACAACTCTAATTTAGCATTTAGGGCTTTAGTGTAACTGTAATGACGGCTGACAGTGAGGCCAACGTGAGTTCAGTGAAGGAGGAATTAAAATATTAAAGAACACGGAGGACTCAGAGGTTTAGTCAAAGTTACTGCGGAGACAAAACGCTGAGTCATGACAAAAACAGCTCATCAAATTCAGACGGAGAGGACACACAGGGCGTCGTCCAGCTTACTCAGAAAATCAAATCATTGTTTCTCATCAAAATGCAAACAAACATGCACGGACGGCAAATAATGCAGTCAGGGGTTTATAAAACAGCAAAACAGACTCAAACGGAAGAAACCTCCCACGCTCTCCAAATCTCACCCGCCGCCGTTCGAGAGGAATCAGGCGACTGTCCACCTAAAGTAAGAAGAGCCTGCAGGACATCACTGCCAGGCTGCAAGGTGGCGCTGATCCAGGGATTCTGCAGAGAGACACCGAAGAGTGACCCGTTAGCATTCATCAGGAACCAGGAACCCTCCCTGAACATTCGCACACAACAGAGAAAACCAGATCAGACCCAAGAGAGCAAAACTAGCAAACTACCTCCTGAGATAACACAAGAGACAGGAAGTTAAACTTCAGCAAAGGTTTCATAATAAAAGTCCAAACGACAAATCTGTCGGTACCTCAGCTCCACCTAAGAAGATCAGGGTTTTCAGCGAAGTGCCGACGCCTCTGCAACAGCTGACTGTCCTCTTCTGTCGCAGAGATTAGGTCTAGGGGGTTAGGGATAGGGTAGGGTTATGGTTAGGATTATGGTTAAGGTTAAGGGGTTAGGGTTAGGGTTAGGTGCTAGCTTTTTGTAGTAAATTTCTGCTGTATTTGAGAAAACGAATAGGAATTGAAAAAGAGGGTTAGGGGTACGGATAGATGGTTAGGGTTAGGTGTTGGCTTTTTATAGTCAATTTCTGCGATATGTGAGAAAACAAACAGGAATTGAAAAAGATGTTTCTCTTCAGCCTTTGGAGCAAAAATACAGAGAATATCTTAAAAATAATAAAAAATATAATAGATTAAAGTTTAATACTGTAGGAGAGTGGTGTATATGTCCAGAGAGGGGATAATTATATACACGAAGATTACTGACATCATATGTATGTTTGAGTGACACATATACAAAGTAAAAATAAGATCAGACCCAAAACAGATCCCTGGGGGACACCTCAAGTTCTGTAAGAGGGGCCGTCTCAGAAAAATAATCCTCCACATGGACGGAGAAACTTCTAAACTTCTCATGATCAGCTGAGTCTCCAGAATCAAATGCGGTTTGTCAGGAGAGTCACCGTCATTTCTGCGGTTCGGATGACGATTTAGTGCGAAGCTGAAACCTGCTGTGTAAAAAGCAACACCCCCATCTGCAGGCACACCTGAGTGAGTCTCTGCGCCCCGGACCTCACTTATTGTCTCGATTTAATTATACAGTTATTTTTCTGAATGGTCTTTGTGTCGAATCTTAGTTTAGCTGATTTGTTATCTAGTCGTTCTTTTACTTTTATTATCCTCCAGTGTTTCCTCGTGAACTCGTGTTTTCCTCGGTTCCTCGGTCTTTAATTCCAGATTTTTCCAGAATAACATTTAGGAGGAAAAATGACAAACATGATGGTTATTTGTGTCAGTTTCTGTACTGAATGAATCATCTTAAGATCCTGCTCATTATCACAATCAGCATCAAATCTCTCTCTTTTCTGTCTCTAATGAACTCATATGTTGGAGTCAGATTCTCGTCTGTTTCTGGGGAAGTTTTAATGACAAACACGGATGGGTCTGTGCCTCGTCACGGCTCCAGTCTGTTTACTGTTTGCTAATTATTTGTTCGAACAAGAGGAGCTGGTAGTAGATCAGCACATCACCAGTGTTGATCTTCTATATAAACTCAGTATGAGATGATATCACAGACGGGGGATTATTGATTTAATTATCTATTGCATTAGAGCAGATAAAATCCTCGTTGGAGGAGCTGTGAGGGATGGCGGCGGCGCTCTGTTTGTTTCGAACAAACAAATTGTTATTTGATTTTTTGAGGGAATCGGCTTAGAGGAACACTTGGTGCTCGGCTTCAGAGGACAGAGTCAATACAGCGGAGATGATGAAGAAACATCGGAGACGCAGCGGAGTTATAGATGCGGGATGGATAACAGATTACAGCCGAGTCAATTTGACTTTTATTAAATATCATTTCTGCTCTTAAAGTTTTATTTTAATGGAAAGGTTTGGGATCTTTCTCAAGGACCTGTAACCAACAAAGAAGCTCAGGTTTGATGGTAGAGCAGCAGATATCACACATGGACCTCTGAGGTTCTGGTTTGTCCCGGACCCGCTGCTGCTCTTCAGTCTTTAAAGCACCCTCAGTGGGACGTTACAGACCTCCTGACCTGGTAAAGACAATGTTCCTCTAGTATATCAGACATTAAAAAAGTGCCCTCAGGATGATCTTTCTGCTCATGAATATTAAAACGTTTCCTCTGGATATATAAAATACTCGCCTGGGTCTGAATGTAGTCCAACAGAAAGGTTAAAAGTGCTCTCAGGATGATCTCCCAGCATATTAAACTTTTTTAAAGAACTTGAAAGTTGCTGTCTGGATGCCATTCCAGTTCATGAAAAGTAAAACAGTTTTTTCAGGATCTTCTGTCAGAATATTTCACTTTTGACAGAGTCGTCTGAACGCCTTTTCAGACAATCAAACATGAAAAGTTTCCTTGGGGAGTCTTTTCAGTGGAAAAAAAAAAAATAAATGCACCCCTGATGACCTCAAGTGGATAAAATATGTTGTTGTTTTTATTTATTTATTTTTCAAGGACTCATGAGTTTGAATTCAGGAGAACTCTCTGAGTTAGTTAAAGCTCCTGTGAGGAATTTTCTTTTTGTGTCGACTTTGACACTTCGTCTTGAGTCAGCAGTCAACTTTGTATCTTCACCAAGTTCTCTTTTTTGTAAAAGTGGCACTATTTGACAAAAAATTTTCTTTTTTCTTATTACAGTGAAATTAATCCCTTACTTCCTGAGAGCTAAAAGATATCAAGAATGTTCAAATTTCCAAAATAGTCTTTTTGCATATCGGTGAAAAATGAGAAAAGTGACTTTTTTGGTTGTTGCGTTCTTGAGCCTACAGCTTTATTGGCGGCTGAACAAAAACAGAGAACCCCAGTAAACCCACAGCATCGATGCAGACATGTTTGTTTGTTGAATGTCAAACAAGATAGTTTGAGCAGCTGGTGCACCGTGCCAGCACTGGATAGCCGTGGATAGCCGTTTATGCTAATTTCAATAGTGATCCTTGCCAATTCAACCGGCGGGATCAACTGACCAGATAATCCGACCTCCTCCAGCATGTTGTGTCAAACAGCTCTGGGTTACCCGCACACGGACATGATAAGCTTTCCCTCCATTTTCCACACCAGGGAACTACTTCCTGTCTGTTTTCATGTGTTCACCTGGAATCTTAATGCTGATTGGTTCTCACAGCATGAATATTTACTCAAGTTAAGATATTTTTAACTCTAGCAAATTCACACCAATAAGGAGCTTAATTTGCATGAAGAACTAGCTTAGAATAACTCGTGCCGCCCAATTTATGTCATTGACTTCACATGTAATTGATTCACGCGAATGATTTTCCTCGTGTTTGTTGTGAACGACCGTTTAGACAGCTCAGCTCTTTTGAGTCGACTGATTCTTTCAAACCTCTCCTTTAATTTGAAGAAAACTATCAACACTGATTAAATGTGAGACAGAAGCCCGGACAGAAAACAGATCCAGGATGCACAAATCAAAACTTTGAAGCCAATCACATCTCCAGCCAAATGCGTCGTTACAGAAACCAGCAATGAGCTGAAACCGCGGCCCCTCTTAACCCCGGAGCACATTTGTTCCTGTGAGCGAACACAATATTGTTCTCCTCTGAGCGTCAATCTGTTGGAAACATTCCAATACGGCTGATTTTCACAATATGTCCCGGTCCTCCTGGGAAATTTCACTTTCAGCACCTACCAATTCCCTCTTCTCCTGGAGTTAAATGGGTTTCCGGCGATTGCGGGTGAGAAAATTGCCCGGTCTGTGCTGACAGACATTGGCTGTAAATGCAGTTATTGACTTGATAGGACCCCTGTGATTATTGTGAAGTGGAATTACCCTGTTTTATGGCAGAATGCACCTTCTGCCATTTGACAACACCTTGCATTAGTTCTGCTCTGAAATGATGGAGTGATTAGGGACGAACGGTCAGGGTCCACTTTCCCAAGTCTGCAAACGGAGCCCTCATACTAATATGGTGTGAATGCGTCATTCCCCTCACACTGGCTGTCTCTGAACGTATTTGCATTCATCGTGAGTGGATTTGGAGAAGTCAAGGGAACTTTTGATCCTCTCCACGGGCCATAATGAAAAGATCAAATACAAACTCCTTCTTAAATGAGAGCTCATTAATTCTAAGAGACGGAAATTAGTCCTAATTTGATTTTGGGATTATACATCAGATGCTTCTTTTTATTTACCCGCGATCACAGACATGCCAACACGCCGTTTGTTCGTGTCTTATTTAATCCAATAAACATCCTTGCAGTGAAAGCAGCAGCTGTACAAGCGCGTGTTAGCAGACCAGTGGTGCAGCTGCCCTCCTATCTGTAAAAAGGCGACTGCTCTATAATTTAAATGGTTTGTGTGGGTTTATTTCCATTATCCAGGATCTAATTGGTTAAATCTTAATCATTTCTCACCCCTGACTCGACACTCAGGGTGTCAAACACCGGCACTGTGACTAAACAGGCGGCCTTTTCTGTCTGCGCACATCTTTAAGGTGACAAATGACTACTTTGACAGGCAGCGTAATTTAAATGATAAGCATTTCTCTCTCCAGGAAAATTAATTTAGATATGTATCTGGCAAGCGTAGCCATGCTATCGAAGCCAGGAAGCTGGCCTCCAGCCAACAGCGAAGCAGCTATTATTTTCCAATTAAACTCTGAGATATCAGTCAAACTCACACGGCTGGATCCGCGTGTTTTTGAGGGGTTTGTGTGGAAATGTTGTGTGCTTTAATTAAAATGTTTGGTGATTCATGGATGTCAGTCACTCCGGGAGATATATCTGTGAGCACGAGTCATTTTGAGGAAAGTGGGGATTTCTTCTAACCCCGACAAGATACTTGAGCTCACACTCGTTTTAATGATCTACTGAGAAGTTCAGGCGACCACCACGAGACCCCAACATGAAGCTGGACGGAGACGACCAGGTCCCGCCTCGTGGAAGTGAAAGCTTTGATGTTATAAACCGCCTCTTATATCAGCTTCTTTTTTCCCTCTTATTTCTCTCACAAAGGTACATTTGTAAAAATCACAAGGACTGGAACATGAGTGGAAACATCCAGCGCATGTTTACGAGACCCTTTCCCTTCACACATATGTGTGGTGCATCTGTGTGCTGCTCTCTAGCCTGTAATTTACAGATTCAACACCAGAAGAGGTGGTAAAAGCATGTCATTACAGTTTGTATGTGAATGTACTGAGTTGTTAATACCAAAGCATGCTGGGTAAGATTGTGAATGACCTTTAACCACAGAGAAGAGATTTTTTTCACAGTCAAACAAGCGAATAAAAACTTATCAGCTGTTCGACATGTCTGTACGGAGACGTCCGGCACATCGGTGTGATATCTCTGGAGGAACTTCTCCTGACTGATAAAGTTCATGTCCAACAGGTTGGTCACATGACTCTGCGAAAAGACGGAAGAGGTTCAGCGTTCTGTGAGAGACTGCGTGAGCTAACAGTTCAACTTACTGAGACTTAGTTCCTCCTGTTCCTATTGGATCATTGGGCGATGAGTCCCCTCCATTTGCTCCGATCTCTAGTGACCCTTCTTGCTCCATGCCAGCTGACTCCCATCTCGCTCAGGTCTTCCTTGGCTGTTTGTCTCCATGTCTTCTTTGGCCTCCCTCTACTGCCACACTAGCCGGTCTCTCTCTTGGCAGTCTGAGTCCATGTCTGGTTATTCTCTTTCTCCTGTCAGAGATGATGTCAGACAAGGGTGCTACACCTGCCCTTCTCGCTCACCTCTTCATCGGTGATGTGGTCTCTCCGTGATATCTTCAGGATGGATCTGAGGCACCGTCGATGGAAGACATCCAACTTGTTGGTGATGCTGGCTGTCTTCATCCACGTCTCACAGATGTAGGTTACTGTAGGTATGACCACTAACATATAGAGGCGTTCTCTACTCTGGGAAGCAAGACCACCGTACCCATGGAGTCGGGATCATCCTCTCCAGCTGTGCGGAACAACGGTTCAACAGTTGGATTGGTTTTCTGTTCCTGTGATCCGACTACATCGATCTGTGATCGACATAAATGACTAACATTGTTTTAAAATGCCATAACTTGATTTTATCGATACTGGGAAATAACCCAGTAGATTTAAGCTCTGTTCATGGATGTTTTTTTTTTTGTTTTAATAATAAAGACGTTAAGCGTTCCTCGATTTAGCCTATCTGTCTGTGACGTCATCGCCATAGACTGTATATACTATGGACAACTTGGTCCCGCCTTCCATCATTATGCGAATCAAAGCTGAATTTCTCTCGGTATCTCCGGGATTTTCTCCACTTCCTGAAACCAACATTGTGCAGTCGTGTTGTAGCATTCGGCAGGAGAGTCACTGTGATGATGCTCGGCTTAAACAGCGTAACGTATTTTTTCGCGCTATAAGGCGCACTTAAAATCCTTTCATTTTCTCAAAAATCCTCAGTACACCTTATGTGTGAATTCTGGTTGTGCTTACTGACCTCGAACCGATCTTATGTGGTACACCGCGCTCAAAAATCTGTCAAAATGTTTTATTACGACTTCGGTAAGTCACAAAGCCGCACAGCCTGCTGGCTTGTCGGAGCACTGCAGTTAGCCTCGCGGAGTTATTGAATGAGTTAAATAAAGTTTGACTTATCTGACTGGACCCGGATGAAGCAGAAGAAAACAATATCGTCCTTGAATCGAATCAGGAACCACGAATCGTTAAAATGAATGGTTACACCCCTACAGAGTAATGTTCAATCTTCAGTCTATAATATCGTTCACAGATTCAGAGGATCTGGAGGAATCTCTTCAGAGCCGTCATTCAGGACCGACACAGCACTGAGCTCTGCTACATTTGAGTTAATTAAACCAACATTTGGTGGAATTACCTCCCCTAACAGTTTTTATTGCAGCTTTTAGCCACATAACACACTCAGTAAACATCATCCTGCAGAAACACTCGAGCAGAGGAGGTTTTGGTGTGCGTACCTTTGTGGAGGAGTTTCAGGAGCAGACACGTTAAAGAAGCATTATCAATGACCGCGTTTGTTTCCTCATCATCAATCATTTTAAATCATCTTCTTATTAGTTTGGTGATCAGCTTCTCCACCGGCCTTCATGACGCTGTCGTCTGATCTATCTGCATCAAACCCCGCTCCAACGTTCTGAGGAAATGTGCTCTTCTCTGATATTTATGCCGAGATCTTTCCTCAAGCAGCGACAGCAGAGAGGAGGTGATCTATCACAGCTGTCACATGATGTTTCTGTGTATTCTCTGGTGTTTCTGTAATGACTGACGCCGCGGCGCTCTGCAGGTAATGATGTCATTTATACAAGTTATGATGAGAAACAAGATAAGGTGCCGCTCGCCGTCAGGTGACAGGAGCAGCTCGTCAAACGTATTTCATCAGTCAGTGTATGCCGCAGTTTGATTCAGAGGAGAGTGAATGAAGAAGATCTGCTCTCTGTATGAATTCACTCTGAAAACACTCGCTGAATTTACAGCTGTTGTCCACGCCGTGCAGGACGAACTTTGATGGGTTTGCAGAGTAATTACCTTCCATAACTTAGAGAGGAATCTGTGCTCCTGTCACCGCCCAGACTGAATTATTATTGTTGTGGAGAAACCGAGTCAAAGTCAGCTCCGGCTTCCTGGAGATCAGACATGTGAGTACTGATGGATCTGAAGATTTCTGAGAGCAGGAAATCAATGTTTACTTTGTCACAGAGACTCTGAAGGGAGTATGGTCATGGAGAGGAAGTCTATAAAATGTTGTCTATGGTGCACTGAGCTGATTGGCTGGTCGAAGACAAATGTAGAGGCGGGAAAACTTCTAAATGAATCTGGCGAGTGCTCCAGGAGATGTTCTTCCTGTCTTATTACCCTCCATGTTTACCTCTGCGTGGTCGTAACATATCCTACAAGAAACAGAGATAAGACGTTCGTTTTTGACGTTGTGTCGATGTTTATTTCCATCTGCGAAGCGAGAACAAACAGAAGAGTCTTCCTCTTCCTCTGTGAAGTCAGAGTGGTGGAGTGTCACCACAGACTGATGCCGAGTCATTCACATATAATAGTCTCCATTTTGCCAGTAGGGATGGAAATTGATAAGAATTTACGATTACGATTCCATTATCGATACTGCTTATCGATACGATTCCTTATCGATTCTCTTATCGATTCTCATTGAGTGGGAAATAAGAGAATACAGATGGGTTTGTTCTCGTTAACTCGTTACTATAGTCACGTTTGGACAGAAGATATGGTGTATCCATGCGCTAATAATTTGTTATGTGACCTTCCCTTTGACCAAAAATCGGTGACATTCGTTTATCTTCACCTCCGCCATTTTACTCTTTCCTGCCTCCATGAAAGGGGCTACCTAGACTTCGATCTAGCATGACTCTGGCAGTCATCGTCATCTAAATGTAATTTAAGAAGATCAAGAGTATAAGGGGGTTGACATGACGCTAACATCTGCACAACAGACACGACCTTGAGGAGTTAAACGTTAGCTTGATAACGCCGAGACGTTAGCTCTGCTCCTACTTTTGCCTGTACCAGTCTCGCCTTCGCTAAGTAGCGTATCAAACACGTTACACTTCCGCAGATTATTTACATGCTGGGTGGACAAATGTTTCCGCATATCGGAAGTATTTCCCCCATCGACGAAATTAAAGCTTGTTGCAAGTCACCCCGGTATCATCTTTTCCGGTATCATCGTGAAATCCGGGCAAACTCTAGATTGCTCTAGCCTCAACGCCATGCTGGACAGTTCTGAACCGAAACATACTTCTCGCATAGAGACGTAAGAGGAACCGACAAGCAGAATCGTTAAGGCGGTAGACAAACGATTCCTAGGATTCAAATCACTGGGAACCAGTTCTAAAAAAGACCCGGTTATTGATTCTCATCCCTATTTGCCAGTACTGGACTCACCTTCTGACTGTCTTCCTCTTTGTAAAGATTTGAAGGAGATCTCCCTCTGTATTCGTGTGCGTACAGGAGCAACCATACCGTTCCAGGGCAGAGGAAGCTTTGGTCAAACGAACTGGACTTCAGAGGTGAGAGGTGCCTGAGTACAGCGCAGGTTTCTCAGTGTGAGTGTCCCTAAAATATGCATCAAGTAAAAATGTGCTTTAAAAGCAAAAATCCAAACACACTTCACAAAGTTCTTGTTATCCCTGACTTGTTGAAACTCTTGTGCTGTTTTATTATTCACTCAGTGGGCCTTTGGTTTGAGCAGCAGAAGGATAAGGTCGTGTTGAGGTAGTTCTCTCTGCTGCAGAGGAAGCACCAGAGCAGCAGTGGCCATCTGGCTACTGCGCCAGTCCACAGGCTATTGTCTGCATGAGAACTATGACTCAGCAGGACGGAGTCAAGCAGAGGTCAGAGCAGCTCCAGGCAAGGTCGCCTGCAGGACCGGGCGAGCTGGCATGACTTTTAAACAACACATACACACGCACACACCTACACACAGAAGCAGATGGCTAAACGGTTCCCTTAAGCTTCTGTCGATCCATCTGAGGATTATTCTTATCGTTTCCAAAAAGGTGATGATATTGATTTTCTGGGGTTTGGGCTGAGAGTGTTTGATGATGCTGATCTCAGTATGCAGCACATCACCTGTCTGTCAGTGTCAGGCTGCAGGACCAGCCAGAACCAGGCGGGAAAAAAAAAAACCTGCACCAGCTGATAAATAAAATATTTCATATCTACCTCCACCTGTATATATATATGACTGCAGCTCTGCTCTCTGACAGCAGCCTGGATAACAAAAGAAAGTACGAGGGGGCGGGAAAAACACTGAGAGACAGGAGACACACACAGATCGTTCAGAGGAAATCTTTACCTCTGGAAAAACTGTTTGACATGTCGGTTTAAAAAGACTCCCTTAGCTGCAGAAAGCTCATTGATTCCGACCTGTGCTGCAGGTCAGAGGAATATTAACTTCATGAAAAATCACAAAAACATCTGCCAAACACAGATAAGAGGTAAAAAGCCAAGAAGAGGTCCAGGAGCGGCATTTTTGAGGACATGACCTGCAGGAGATTCAGGGCTGTTGTGTTCGGCTGAAATTGCCGAGGCTTTGAATGATTTTGGTGTTATCACAAATCTCTGAGTGCTTCACCTTCAGAAAACCACAATTTAAAAATTCTGTGAACCAATTTTACCAAATTTTCAAGTAACCTGCTCCGACTGACAGCATCCTTTGAAGAAGGTGACTGTTGTGGTCACCTTTCGCGTCCTTCGCTGTGGGAAAAAGTTAATTGCTCTCGCCCTGCGTGGTGACTTTTTTACCCTCTGAACCTGCAGAAGGCTTTAAGAAAACCTTTTTACTCAAACTGACAGATTTCTTCTCGTGCTGATGGGTGTGTTGGTCTGCATGAAGCCGACGTTCTCCTCTGCTTCCCACTGTGCTTGGTTTTTCCCTGATCAAAAGATGTTTTATTTTTCTAAACTCATGAGCAGAATTATCCTGAAGTCAAACGCTCATTTAAATCTCCAACAGAGTGAGTGAAAAACTGGGTCTCCTCACGCTCTCTTGTCTTTTACTTTGCAGGCGTCAGATGAGATTTAAGGTCTTATCGTATACCTGAAAAAAGGCGCTTCGATGTGCACCATGAGTGCAGTAATTATGGCGTTTATAGGAGGATATTTTCTGATAAATCTGAAGGTTGAAGGTGACGTGTTTCAGGGGAATTCTAACACGCTGTAACCAAGACAGGAGGGCGCTAAAAAGCCTGTTTATTGAATGAATGGGGTCCGACTCTGACGGCAAACGCTTTAGCCACGGAAGGATGGTGCGGCTTGGTGGAGCGCTTCTCGGCGAGGTGAGAATATACTGATATCAACACAAGAAGGAAACTAAACACAAATATTCAGCAAACCAGTGGACGTTGATTAACGTGGACGCTCTTCAATCTTCCTGTCCCCAGCCGGTCTCCAGTGGGTTGGGTGAATCCAAAATGGTGAAAACAAGAGGGGTGTTCTGAGACAGGCTGTTACCTGTGAAACGAGGGTGCTCTGAAAACACCCCTATTAGTGCTTGGTACGTTCCTCCTGATGAAAAGAACCATAGACTGTAAATGGACACGGAAAAAATCAAGTCGACCAGTCACGATCAGATGTTCCTTTATACAGACACAGGTTTGACGGACCCGGAGGACAGGAGGAAAGACACATTCAACAAGCACTCAAAACCTGCCAATAC